AAACATGTTAATGTAAAAAATTACCTTGCTGTAAAAAATCTTCTCAGTATGGACTACTATTTTGGATGCCTGATTTCTATATATAATTTGAAATGACCTATGTGTATAAGGGCAGTCATATTTGTTTATTACAGAGTTTAAAGGTGCCCATACACCTTGCGATTATCGTATGATAATCGCGGGAAATCCCGCGATCGTACGATAATCGCAAGGTGTACGGAAGGCGTGCAACCGTTTTTACTGTACGGTCGCACGTCTTTTGTCGAACCAGCATGCTAGAAAACCCGCCGAGAATCGTACAATTCTGTGCGGGTTTCTAGCCTGCTCGTTCGACAACTGTGGAACGGGCCGGTGTGCGCAAGCGCCCGTTCAGCATTGTGGTCATCGGAAGCCCGCCCCTCAGTGGGGCGGGCTTTTGATGATCGCAAGTATGATCTGCCTGTCCAAGATGGGCAGATCGTACGAGCTTTTAATAAGCTTACGACCATCGCAAGACAAAAGTCTTGAGATGGTCATAAGGTGTATGGGCACCTTAAGACTCTGCTTTCTGCTTTGTGGCACCACACAATGGTTGGGCTTTATAGCACCTTCTCACAATACAAGTCTATGACTCTTTAAAAACAATGCACTTCTGTACAACTGATCTCTAATCTTTATATTATATCTATAATTGAATAGCCTGCTCTTCAAGTCAGCCAATCACAGTAGCAGGAAGTGACATTTCTGGGGAAATTCTGTACACAAACTATACATACTGCAGGGAATTTATCATATCAATTGCGAGTGTTTGAACTTGCACGGAATATATTTGCACCAGATTTATGATGCTAGTGTAATGTTGTTGATAAATGAGGTTTAATAGACTCCAGGAAAGAAGACTTGTAACTCCAAGCAAAAAGCTTGACTGTCGCTTCTTGAAGAAGTGGTCAAGGGGACTTCTTAAGTTGTGATTGTTTTCTTAGGTTATGCTCCAGTTTCAGACAGCCCCAGAACAAGTGCAGATGAAAACAGGTGCAAAAAACGTGCAGTTGAAACAGTAGTGCAAGCTCAGGTGAAAACAGGGGTACATGTTGAAAGATGGATTTGCACATAAAACAAAATGAGCTAAGATTGTATTTATTTTGAAAAACAAATTTAGAACATTACAGCAGTTACAGTTTTAAATGTTTAATTTTAATTAAAATTAATTTTAATTAAAATTGCCTAATTAAAATTTTAATGTAATTAGGTAATTTTTAATAGCATTGCATTACAAAATGGCTTGTGGAACAATTATAAATGCTATAATACTTTTTCATTTTGTTTTTTTTTTAAAGTGGAGTTATCCTTTTATAGCAACTAAAGGAGTAATTTATAAATGAAGCTGCTTAATTATAAATGTCTCATATTTTTCTTACTGCTTCTGTTCAGCACTGCGTTGCTTTGGATATATTGTACATAAGCACAAGATTTGGGTTATTATGGTTTCCCCATTATGTTATATTAATTGTTTTATAAGAAAGAGCTACTGCAGAATTCAGAATGCCCATTCACTAACTGTATATGTTTCGCTGAAAACGTATTCATTGTTTTATCCTATAATAATTTTCTCATTGAAAGCTTTCATTCACTTACCTAATGTTTTAAAATGTTCTGCTTTTACATACACTTTAAATTTGAGTATCCAGACATGGTCACACCACTCAGTCTTTTATAGCATGCAGGACTATGATAGGACTAAGGACTGGCTGCTCAGGATAGGAAAAAGGTTTTACAGCTACATGAGCCACAACCATTATGAAGATTTTTCATTTTTTAATAGAATTGCAGTTTGATTCTCACGGCCCTGAACCGGCAGCTTCCATCTTGACTAGTGCAGACTCCGTGTATCGATATTGCTTAGCAAGATAATAATATGGAAGAAGTTTCTCGAGTAAACTTTATCAATAGGCTTGAAGGACAGTCTGTTAATTAACACATTTAACGGATATGAAGAAACAGCCGTTAATAAACTTTATTGATCTGCACATTAAAAAAACCCAAAAACAACATACTGTGCAAGGTTTAGTCTCAGCCGTGACTAATTAAGAGATCAAATCTGTCAAAACCCCCCCCAAAACTGCCAACTTTGAGATAAATGTTATAGTGCAGTACATGTTTTCCTTCAATATTTTGCTAGACTTGGCAGTGGACAGTGGCTGTCTTAAAGAGAACCAGTTACCAATGGCCATTAATAATAACCAGAATGTCTTGAATTGTTATAATAAAGCAAATATTCCTCTCAAGGATTACTTGTTTAATTATTTACTTTTATTCTCTCCCTGCCAATGTAAGAGTGTCAGGCTGTAAGGCCGTCCTGCCTCATGCCTGAGCTTAGCACTGATAGCATGCACCCTAAAATTGTCATTGCCAGAAGCTCATATGTCATTGGCTGGTTCAAAGCTGTTATTATAACGTAGCTTACATGGTACCCTGTTTATAGAGCCATTCTTCTTGCAGACGTTGTCCTCCATGCCAGAATGTACACCCACCTTGAAGAAAAAGAACCACAGCAGCAATAGCAGCAGCACCTCCGGCTCAGACAGCAGCACGGACAGCGAGGAGGAAACGCTGGTGAAGGAGAAGAAGGTTTCCTATGAGCTGGAAGAACAGAAATACAAATCCCTGGAAAGGTCCAGTACGTACATTTGATTGTTACTTTATAACATGGAATCAGCAAGTGTGGCTGCTATAGAGCCATATATCATTTTTAAAAACCTTTTAAAGCAGAATTTTGCACACCAACTATTGTCCCGGAAATGTCAGCTTTATTGTTGTTATTTACCATTTACCTCCTATTCCCATAGGAAAGCAGCAGGTAAGTAATTATGTGCATTTTTCTAATGCAGCACGGACTACTGCGTCTGCACTTCCTGCTCCCCATTCTTGGCACTGGAAAGATGCTTACATTAGGTAGGGCACTATGCTGAGATGCAGTCCTAATCCCTCCTCCAACCTGCTATATTAGCTCTTCTGGGTTTTTGGAAAAGAGGCATTCTACAGCTCATGCATGGGATTCATGACAACAGGGGTGGGTGGGTGCTGCTGAACAGGAAGCTGTAAAATCTCCCAATGTAGCTCAGGCTTCAGTGAGCGATAGATGCGGCAGGCAAGGAAGATTTTGTGACAAAGGAGCACTCCCTGCGGTTAACATCGAACACTACAATAAAATTTCATTTTTTATTTAAAACTAGTTGCTAGCATTTTGCCTTTTCACTTATAAGTGACCCTGACAAGTCTGTTAAAACATGCTAAAGGCAGGTCCCTGCAATAGAAGAGCTCTTATGCTCACCTCTTTGGTGACCCATATCTCTTACCTTCCCGTATTCCAGCCTCCATCAGACTCTTGAGCATTCAACACTTAGGGGGGTGTCAGATACCCGTGTATCTGCGTATCTACGCCTGGCATCCCACTACATGCAGTGGTTTAATCCTCCGACTCTTACATCATTACAGGACATAGGGGTCAGAGTATGGAACTACATTGCCTGGTGGGGGAAACAAGCATTCAACCCTACCGGAAGTCAGTGACGTGCGGTGCCTTCTGTACTGGGTGAGGCATCCCCCAGCCCGCCCTAGCTCTGCCCCTGTCTAACCGAAGCTCCACTTCTCCTGCTGAAGCCCCACCCCTGGCTCAGTAACCAAGCTGTGTGGGGAGGAGGAAGGGAGGAGCCTCCCTGTCCCTCACTTGCTGGTCACTGGTGAGGCATCGAGATCGATGTCCTCACTGTTTTGTTTTTCCTTTTTTTGATTGGACAGCTTGGACCAATGGTGCTTTGCATTGGTCCAAGCCATCCACAGAGCTCACGCCTCTAACACGGTGTAGAGGCTGTGACAGCTCTTGCCTCACTAGTTAGGTTACACAAGCAGTGGGGAAGCCCGTTGCTGTGTAACCTAACTTAGCTGCCAAAAGCCGAATGCTTGTAACCTGTAACAAGCCGATCTGAATGGAGAAAAAGCTGTCAGGGACTTGAAGCTGACACCATTTTTCTTTATAATTCTAGGTGAGGCTCTGCCTCACCTGCCTCCCCTGACCGCATGTCCCTGCGGAAGTGTTAAATGCTAATAACATTTTCGCTGGAATTGAGAAAAGGTAGGAGACAAGGGCTGTCAAAGTGAGTATAACAGTCAACCCAGGGGCTTAGTGGATAGCACTTCTGTCATGCTCCATGTGCTTGTGTAGGTTTTCATCGGGTACACCGATTTTCTTCCCACACCTCAAAGACGCTGTAAAAGGTCTTTGAGGTGTTAGGTTAATTGGCTCCTGTCCAAAAAAATGGCCCCAGTTTAATATTCTACTGAGCACACCGAAAATAGCTGCCTTGCTTCCTATCTGCCCCAACACCAAGTGAGAAAGGTGCTATAGAAATATAAATTAATGAGCCCCTCTATTGCAGGGACCTACTGCTAGCATACTTTTATAGACTTGACAGGGTCACTTTAAGCCTTCTTCCTTTTTAAGGTAGACTGTCCAAAGTGGGTGCCATATTAATCCAAACCAGTTAAGCCTTTTAGGCAGCAGCTACTCGAAGGATTCCGTTTTAAAACCAGTTAACGGCACCACGATTTACCCTGTGTATTTTTTTTATTTATACTCTGCCAGCCATTTAAGGCCAATGAATTTGAGATAATGGAAAGGGAGGTCTTGCAGGATTCGCTGCATCTGTCATGTTTAACTGGAAAGAGTTTCCCATTTAATCGCATTCTTCAGACTCTCGTTTCAACCACCATCCCTCTTACAGCCAGCATCCCGATGTCCATTAATCAACCACAACCCTTAGCAGGCGAAATGTAGCGTGTCTGTTTACACAAACACAGTCAGGACCATTTATTTATCCAGCGCCGGAGACGCCTGGCATCCCAAAACCTCCCCGCACTCTCCTGTGATTACAATCTGGATTTTATATCAGACTTCTGGGACAGCTTTGATCAGAACAGCAAATGCACTTGTGCTCTTGGTTTAGGAACGCCACATCTAATTTTGCTTTAATGACATAACCTGTGTGTCCTGCCTATGAAATGTAGAGCTCATAGTGGCTGTCATACGGCCGGGCATAAACTGCATTGCCACTTCATTTTCTGCAATAAAATCCTCCGTGTTCTACAATTTCATTTTTGGCTGAGTCGTCGGACTGACAGAATTTCTTGTACTGACTGCTAACTGTACTTCGTAATTGTTTTCCCATTCTTTCTGTGACTGGTGTGTTATCCATTACCTCAATCCATGTAGCCATCATGGTATTGTCACCCCTCACACTGGAGGACTTGTATTTTATCTAGAATACATGTTGGCACCAAAATCTCTTGCACCCTATTTGCTATTCTATTTACCTCAACTTCAGCATTTTAGTTGTGCTATCTTCTCTTTACTACTCTGCATGTCAATGCAACCAAAAAGAAAAAAATCTTTGTAAAAAATATGATTTTTATGGAATAACACTGTTTTTCTTTTATATGGCAGGTAGAATACATTGTAAACCTCCCATCAAAACGCGGCCCTTTCCTTATTCTTCTCCGTCATCATCGACTCCTATTCGGCGCTCTGTCAGCTGTCCCCGTTCCATCACTGTACTCAATGCACCCTCGCCACATGTAGAGCAAAGACCCCTCTCATCAAAAGTCTCAGCACAGGTGTCAAGGCCGTCTTCTGGAAACCGGACCAACTCTCTTAATCGCAATTCCTCATCGCATAGAGTGCCACACAGCGGTACTTGTGCCAGTATGTACCCAACACTGGTGAGTGGCTGAAACAGAGGGCTGGCTTTACAATAAAGAACACCTATGTATTTAATGCACTGTATGTATTCATTACTTGACTAGAAACTTAACTAAGTAAATATAAACTGTTGTATATCAATAGTGGCTGCCCTTTGCAGCCATCAAATGTTGAGTCTCCTATCTGGGACATAATCCAATGGTTTCAAATACCATCAAGCTGCATAAGAAATATAGTGAGCAGGAATTCTGCCTACATCCTACCTTAGTTGGCTGCATGCATGTTCCTGATAAATGACTTAGAAAGATGGTCAGGGAAATATAATTTTCCAGAGGTCAGCAATGGAAGCCTATGTTCTCCCCTCATGACAGGTTTCTTGGATTGCTTCTGTCATGAAAAGCTGCAAAAGGTGTCTCCAGATTTAATCTGGGGCTCAGTCAAAGAGATTTTCCAGTTTTTCATGTCCCTGTGACAATGGATTCACCAGACAGGAAATAAAGGTAAATCATAGTTTACATAGTATTTGAGGGTGAATCAAGACATAAGTCTATCAAGTTCAACCTATTGCGTGTATGCATTTATGTTTGAGCAGGTGTGTGCGTGTATATGAGTCCATGTGTGATTTTGCTCTTAAGAGTACTGGTACCCCTTTATGTTATGGTCTTCAAGGAACTTGTCCAGGAGTTTCTTGAATAATTCCACACTCTTAGCTGTGTGGAGAGTGTGGAATTGTCCAAGAACAGATTGGGAGGTTTGAAAGTTTGTGGACCCACCTTCTATGAGGAGGCGAGTAACAACCTAGGTGGAGGGAAGGCAAGGAACATAGTGTACCTGGATTTTGCAAAAGCATTTGACACAGTAATACATAAACGCTTAATACACAAGCTGAAATCTATGGCCATAGATTAAATGGTGTGTACATGGATAGAGTACTGGCTACAGGAACATGTCCAGAGAGTATTGATAAATGTCTCTTTTTAACATTGGTCTAAGGTCGAGAGTGGTGTGCCTCAGGGTTCTGTGCTAGAACCAGTACTGTTTAACCTGTATATAAATGATATTGGGGGAGGTGTTAATGGGCATTAGGGATGGGCTGCCGGTTCGAATCGAGGAAAAGTTTGACTCGAACATCGCCTGTTCGAGCGTTCGCCGAACGCAAGAACTTTGAGGGATGTTTGCGGTCTGTTTGACCGCGCAACGTCCCACAAGGCAATGCACTCTCTGAAGCTCTAATTGGTTAAAGGCTTACACCTGACCACAGATCAGGTCATTTGATCAAAAGTCTGGACTTTTTAATAACTATTTTATTTAACTCTTTAGTGAATGGGTGATCCGGCAAGACCACAGGTGAGGTGCAAGACTTTGCCCAATCAGGGCTCAGTACTTAGTTAGAGCCGTGATTGGGCAAAGTCATGATGATTTTGCCCAATCATGGCTCATAGCTAAATTCCAGCAGCACACTCTATAAGGCTGCTTACACCGCAGCCCTACATAGTGTGTTGCTGGAGTTAAAAAAGAGAGTTCTATATCAGAGTTCTATATACAGCGTTCTATAGCAGAGTTCCATATCAGAGTTCCATATCAGAGTTCCATATCAGAGTTCTATATCAGAGTTCTATATCAGAGTCCCATATCAGAGTTCTATATCAGAGTTCTACAGCATCCTATCTACAGCGCCCTATATACAGAATTCTATATACAGCGTCCTATATACAGCGTTCTATAGCAGAGTCCCATAGCAGAGTCCCATAGCAGAGTCCCATAGCAGAGTCCCATAGCAGAGTCCCATAGCATCCTGTCTACAGCGCCCTACATACAGCATTCTATATACAGCGTCCTATATACATCGTTCTATATCAGAGTTGTGTACTATAGCAGTCAGTCATAGTGGTCTCTTATAGCAGTCAATCAGAACAGTTGATTCTAACAGTCGATTTTTGAAGTCTATTGCAATAAACATCATGTCAGAAAGGCCAAAAAGGACAGGCAGACCCTCCTATGCAGCAATAAGAGGGCAAGCAGCCTCCGTGTCCGCAGGCCAAAGTCGTGGTCGTCGTTGTGGACAACGCTGGACGCTGTGATTGACCATGAATTACATCGGTGGATCCATTTTTTTGGGTTTAAAAAACAAAATACTTGTCAAAAACATGTCTTTTGTTTTTTTTTCCAAATAAAGGATTTGATCAAAAGTCTTGACTTTTTAATAACTATTTTATTTAACCCTTTAGTGAATGAGTAGGGGTACAAGTACCCCCCTACTCATTTACAAGGGGGGTGGCGGCATCTGCGTGCCCCTTTTAATTAAAGAGGTACCCTGATGCAAATAAGCCCCCTTGCCCACAGACCCCCACAACCACCAGGTTGTGGGGAAGAGGCCCTTGTCCCCATCAGCACAGGGACAAGGTGTTTTTCCATGGGCGACTCTGGAAAAGCACCCTCCCAGTGCCGAGGGCATGTGGCCTGGTGTGGGACGGAGTGGAAGGCGCTCGCTCGTCCCTCCCCTTTCAGGCCCCGCCAGGCCTATGCTCCGATCAAGGGTCTGGTATGGAATTTTAGGGGGACACCACGTTCCCCCCCCCCCACTTTTGGGGGTGAGGTTCCTCCTTAAAATTCCTACCAGACCTTAAGGGCCTGGTATGACTTTAAGGGGGAACCCCACACACTTTTTTTCATGGGGTCCCTCCTCACTATTCCTACCAAACCTTAAGGGTCTGTTATGACTTTTAGGGGGAACCCTACACTTTAAAAAAAATAAAAATTGGTCCCTCCTAACATTTCTACCAGACCTAAAGGGTCTGGTATTGTTTGGCAAGGGTAACTGCACGCTTTAAGAGTAAAAATAAAATATGTAATTTTTTTTTCTTTAGGTTCTATACATCGTGCAGCTCCGCCACTTCACAGGCAGTTTATGGGGACCCCCCAGGCACGATATTTGAAGGAATTTTTCATTTTTATTGTTACCCTTTAAGTGATGTTAAAATCACTGCTCCTTTAAAAACAATTTTTTTTTCTTTCATTGATTCCTGTCCCCTAGTGCAGTACCCGGACCCCCATACACCTTTTATGGACAATAACTTGTATTTAAGCCCTCTTAAAGGGGACAATCGTTTTTGAAAGTTCTATCCCCATTGATTTGCATTGAGTTCGAGTTCGAATTCGAACATTTCGGCTGTTCGAATGTTCAAATACAAACCGACCTCGGGCCTGTTCGGACCGTCACTAATAGCCATGTTTCTGTGTTTGCAGATGATACTAAAATTAGGAGCTTAGATATTATAACATTACAGGAGGACCTGCATAAAATAGGGGAGTGGGCAACTATGTGGCAGATGAGGTTTACATTTTAAAAATGTAAAGAAATGCATTTTGGGGTTAAAAACGGGCAAGCGGAATACACATTAATGGGAACTCCACTAGAGAAGTCAGAAGTGGAAAAAGATTTTGGGGTCATAGTAGACCACAGATTGAATAATAGCTTGCAATGCCAGGCTGCAGCAAACAAAGCGAGCAGAGTCCTGTCATGTATTAAAAAGGGAATGTACTCCAGAAACAAAGGAATAATTTTTTCACTTTACAGATCCCTGGTTCGGCCTCATCTTGAGTATGCGGCTCAATTTTGGTCACCAATCCACAGAAAAGATGTCCTTGAGCTGGAGAGAGTCCAGAGAAGGGCAATGAAACTAAATAGGGCTGGAGGACCATAGCTGGCAGACAAGGTTGCTCAATTTAAACTTGTTCACGCTGGAAGTGAGGCGATTAGGAGGGGACATGATTTTGATATACAAAATGTTTAATGGTGATGCAATATCGTCGAGACGTCGCACTGCCGCTGCCACGTACCCGCACGTAAGGTCGGAAAGCTGGTCGTAAGTGCGAGTGGTCGCAAAACAGGTAAGTCGTAAAGCGAGGAATGTCTGTCTATGGTTTTCTGTGGTATTCGCAGCGAATATTCGTAAACTAACGAAAATTCGGATTTCGTCCGAAACCCGAACCGAATTGAATTTCAGATCCAAATCCCAAAATAACGAAATATCCGAACCGAACCAAATTTTTCCGCAGCTTACATGTTTACTAGCTATACAATGACCTGGATAAATGAGAACCTTCACAGGCATGTTGTCCAGTTCGGGTTTATATCTACTTTACGAATGTTTAACCCTAGTCTTTTACCATCTCGTTGTGTAACAATGATTTACTGTAAATTCTTTTTTTCAGAACGAGACCGGGTTGCATCACCTAACAAAAGATCAGGAGGAGGAACTAACACGGCAGACTCTGCTTGTTTTACGAGATATGAGAATCAGGTTCCCAGGGAAGGTGGACGAGGATGAAACATGTTCTATTATAGATGATGTGAGTCTTTTGTCTCTGAACAGTGTGGCTCAGAGCTATAATGTTTATGGCTTGCACTGGGAAAAAAACCTGCTTGCTACATATTGGAGGAGGAGTCCAGCAAAACTCACTTTCTATAGGGATGAATGTAATAATACATGTAAACACACAAAAAAGGAGACACATTGCAACATGCAGCAGTGAGAATTTAAATTTTAACTGAAGCCAGAATAATTTTTGTGCTTTGGATAGATTGAAGAGGGATTAGAACACATGTTGGTTTTTATTGCTATTTGTGTCTTTGTTATGGAGGTTGACCTTCTCTACTGGTGACCGTTATCACAGAAAGTGAAAGTAAATCCTAAATTTTGGGTTGTCACCAAACAGGAATAATTGGGAAATCTTCCAATGGGGACACTAGTTCTAGTGACCCTGCTGACCACCAGGGATTTCCCTCTCTTTGGAGGAATTTCCTCTCACTTCCTGTTGCAATGGGACACAGATGGCAAACAATAGCCTACAGGGGTTATAACTAGGCATGCACCAAGTTGCCAATACATAGTATTTGGGCAAGTACTCGTACTTGCCCAAATGCTCAGATACCGGAACTTCCGATCAGAGGGAGATTTCCTCTGACCGGCAGTGCTGCGAGGGAACATAGAGCCGGCTTCCCAGCCAATTAGGAAGCCAGGCCACGGGTAATGACTGGCGCCCGTCTTCCTGATTGGCACTAGAAGCTGGCTTAATGCTGTTTGGCCCAGCTCCATGCTGATTGGCCGGGAAGCCGGCTTCCAAGCCAATCAGCATAGAGTCGGCCTAACAGCATGGAGCCAGATTCCTGGCCAATCAGGAAGCCAGGCAGCTGGTAATGACCCTGCTTCCTGATTGGCCGGGAAGCCGGCTCCCTGCTGATTGGCCAATCAGCAGGGAGCCGGCCAAACAGCATGGAGCTGGCTTCCCCGGCAATCAAGAAACCGGGCAATGACACGCTGCATGGCTTCCTGATTGCCCGGGAAGCCAGCTCCATGCTACTGGAAGCACCGATATCGATACTGGGTATTGGCGAGTACCAAAATATAAATATCGGTACTCGTACTCAACACCAAAAAAACCAGTATCTGTACATCCCTAGTTATATCCCTCCCTTACTCTATCCAAAATGTTTTGTCTTCAGTTCTACGTTAACCTATAAGGAAAGAATTATGGAGATGCCTTTGCTGTCTTGTTTTTCAGTCTGAAAGCTCCAGAGCAGTCATGCCCATCCTTGCCTCTCTTAGTGGAGCTATGGAAGACACCCAGAAATACATATATAATGTAGTCTTTCACTAGCATGTGTTGTTTGGTTTTAATATCCAAAAATGCTGAAGAACCTGCACTGACAGGGTCACTTTGTATGTAAATGCATACGTGTAATAGAAAGGGGAATATACTTACTTTTATGGTGGCCCATTTGTTTAAATGCCACCTCTTTGCTTGCTGCTCCTTGACTGCTGCAAGTATTCCACACTTCTGGGTGTTCCCAACTGCTCCCCCTCAGCGTTTCTCCGTCTGGCTTGTACTTGAATGTAGAACATGTGAGCTGGCGGGAGGAAACACTGCTCGTAGTGGGGGAAAAAGGTATTGAACCCATCTAAATGGTTGAATACTTGCAGCAGCCAGGGAGAAGCAAAGAGGCAGCATTTCAATAATTGGGGTAAGAATATTGCCTCTTTTATTACAGGTATACTTTTTTATACAAAGTGACTTTGTGCTGGCAGGGTCACTTTAAACTCCAACTCCAATTTTGGAAATAAATAGAGTGCCCATCACTTTTTAAAAAATAAAAAAAAGCAGCTCTTTCTTTATTACTGTTTGCAGCGATGTCCCTCACAAACCAGTGCTCTGCAATGCAGCTCTAGTCCTCCAGAATCCATTTCTTCCTTCAGCCCACTTCCTGTCAGCCTATTGCATCAAAGAGCCGCCCTCTGGGGGTAGATCATCATGCCAGGCTGCATTTATAAGGGAATGCATTAGGAAAAGGCATCACGTTCTTAATGAAATTAATTAATGATGCCCACCTCCAAAATTAGAGGACACTTCACCAGATCAAACATCCCACAAATAAAAGTGATGGAAGGTGCTTCAAGCGGCGCAAGGGCCGGAAATGGGGTGAAACCTAAAATTAGGCTTGAAAAGTGAAACAAAAACAAGACACGCTCAATGCTTCTTTTATTTCAAGCCTCCGTTACAGAATTTCATCTTCTGTATTATTACAGGTGAACTGTAAAGGGAAAACATGAACTTGAAAAATTGAAAGAGCTAATTTCCGTTTAATAGACACAGTCAGGAGTTTTGGCCCTGTGTGTAGTGATTAGAAAAAGATTATGGGAATACGCATTACATCCCGCTGTCTCTCCAGCGTGCCACACGATCGGAGGGGCTGCGTACGACATATACAGAAGTGTCATTCTGTTGTCTGGGGGCAATTTGGGCCTCTCGCATAATGCTGAATGTGCGATTCATCTGTGTTTTCTTTTTCTTTTTTCCATTCTTCACCACTTAAAATTTCCTCGACCTCTATAATTAAGTTCAGATTAACCAAATGAACATTCTCCCCAAACAAAACCATTTTAATTACACTTTTGTTACTAATGTCTGTATTCCTTCCGAGTGGCTCTTTTGTTGTCGAGAACATTCACAAGGAACATGGGACCTTGTACAATTAAAATACAGCTGAATCTTTTCTCCAGGATATAACCCTGCGCATATACAATATTGCCCACATTGTTAAAGGCCTGACGTTCCAAAAAAAAGAAAAGAAAAAAAGTAAAGATTTATGTTTCGTGTTTTTTTACAACCTCCGAATGTTCTTCAAGAAAAGCTTTCAGCAGGCAATGAGTTGCTTCTACTGCTGTGATCAAATAACTTACCACACGGATATGAGGAAACTATTTTCATAGTTTACAGTGCCGGTGGAAATGGACCTTGGAGACCATTTACATTCTAGGTAACGTTTACACAATATGAATGTTTCCCAGGCAGCCATTACTGCATTGGCTGCGCATTCCAAGAGCCGTTGTGAGCGAAGCGGTTTGCGGCTGTGGGGACCGGTAATGCCTTGCTCACTGCCTCAGGCGCTTAACGTTTTAACACCTCAGATTTTGCCTATGGAAAAAAAAAAATGGCTCATAAAATTGCAACTGTGATAAGTCAAGAACCGGACTTGTCCAAAAGCTTGGAGAGCATCTGTTTTACTGCCCCACCTAGAGTAAAAGATGTTGGCGTGAAAAACCTACCAAGCCACATTGGGTGCATGACCAAAGTTTACTAAGCCCCATGGAACCATTTTGTTTATTTATCTGCATAGCCGCCAGTCCAGTACAACTTTGAGCACCAAGTGCACAGTGTTCTGAGGCTGTTTTAGCTTTGGTAGTTTATTAAAGTGGACATCTCAGCAACTTTACAATTCTGCATGAAAATATTTCTTGCCATGTCACAAACGGCAACATTGTCATTTTTCAAGAAAACTGTATTTTTGTATCATTAGTAAACCATGGTTGAGCTCTAGTCCACTGGCTTTGCCTGGCTGAAGCTGAGATGTCATCAGTATGCTGCAGACAGGAGGGGGCCTTTCCTCAGTCTCCTGTCCCAACCCCTTTCCCTCTCCACTATGATCAGAATGCAATATTAAACATTTGTAAATGAAAGGATGTAATCTGCTGCTACATAAGGAATCCTAATGCACCCCTCCTGGACCACAGCTTGCCATACTGCAACCATCTCAGAAAACAAAATTAAGACAGTCCAGTACTTAAAGTGACACTAAATTCAGAAGGTAAATCTTAAAAATGCATTCAAGTACCCTAACTATTAACAAAAATATATCTTTTTTGTGTATCACTCAGCTTTAGATCCTCAAATCATCTCTGAATTGGTGTTGACACTGTCCTTCCTTCTGGAGGGTGGCTACTTTTGTTTCCCACAGTCGCTGTGTGTGTTGTAAAGTAGTCACCGCTCCAAGCTCACTCCCCTAATAGACTATAATCTACATACAAATTAAGTTACTTAGATGTGAGATTGTAGTCCATGGGAGCGAGCTTGGAGTGGTGACTACTTTACAACACATGCAGGGACCGTGGGGAACAAAAGTAGCCCCCCTCCAGAAGGAAGGACAGTGTCAGCACCAATTCAGAGATGATTGGAGGATCTACAGCCGAGTGATACACAAATAAGATACATTTTTCTTAATAATTAAGGTGCCTGAATGTATTTTTGTCAAGGAATGTCAAGGAACTTCTAAGTTGATCCTTAGATACTGGGCCGTCTTCATTTTGTATTCTAATATTGTAAGTTTGTAGCAAGTCACTGTTCGCCATGGTGCCCAAGTGTGGCCCGGGTCTTTAACAATCTTGGCAGGTATCCTGCAGCTCAGGCTTCAGCAAGTAAATTCATAAAGTACACTTCCAGTGATTCTATGAGGTGCTCTTTGGATTTTGAGTGCCAGAGGTTTCATTGACATGTATGTAAAGTCAAAACTTCTCTCTTCAATTTTGGATAAAGTGTTATTATTATTATATTATTATACAGGATTTATATAGCGCCAACAGTTTGTGCAGCGCTTCACAATATAAGGAAGACATTACAATCACAATAAAATTCAAAACAAGATGGTAAGGAGGGCCCTGCCCCTGAGGGCTTACAATCTAAAAGGGAGGGGCAAGTGATACATGAGGAGGTAGCTGTGTGGGGATGAATTATTTAAGAAATTGATATTTCAGGGGTTAGGTTGAGGCGGGATAGGCTTCCCTGAAGAGATAAGTCTTAAGGTATCACCTAATGGCAGTCAGTGTGGGGGTAGGGGGTGGTTAAGACCCATGAGGGTTTGTTTTGTGGTTTGTTTGTTTTTTGGCCCGTGTGCTGTTATGGAGAATTATCCTCACTTCCTAGAGACACAAGAGGAAGTAAGGACTTATTCACACATCAAAATGTGCCAGCTGCGCATCTACGCGTGGATCCAGCCACAGGAATCTGCTGGCTGATTTTTCCGTGTGAATGAGCCCTTAGAGGAACTCTATGTAAAGTGAGAATAAATGATTGGGCTGCCCTAACACAGCACACATTAACATGTGTCATACTGCACACACTAAGGTGTTTGTGGTAATACACAATGGTGTAAAGGGGTATTTAAGCTTTTTTTTAAGCCTTGAGTTGGAAGGATTACAGCATAAGACATTTTTTTATAGATGTCAAGTTTCCTTTTGGGAAGAATTTTGGGAAGAATTTTCTTCACTTCCTGTGCAGATTGGGACTGGAAGTCAGGGTACATGTTCTCAGGGAGAACTTAAACAGTAATAAAAACCTGAGTGGTCCTCTCTGTAGCCAAGTTCTGCGTTAACATTTATAAATTATTCATAAAAAGATTAAGATATTATAGGAAGTCAAAGATTTATATAGCCCTCCACTAACATCTCTGTAGTATAGGGTGGCACAATATTAGCAGAACTTGTATAGTGGCAGTATAAATAACCCAGCTGCATGCAGTGGAGTTATTTAGGAGATAGAAGAAGGGATGATGTTAGTCTTAAACAGCTGGTTTGGAATTCAGTGGATTCGCAAGTTGATAGACAAGTCTAGATATGTCTACATATAGTGCACCTTATGGCCATAAATAACATGAGAACCACAATAAATGATCTATGGTAAACCTGATATACTTTATGTTTGCTGGTGATCCTTGACAAGCTTCTGCTGGTAAGGCCTAGCTGGAGTGGTGAGGTGGACAGGGAATGAGCGAGTATGTAGGCATGGAAGGGTACAACGAGTCAGTCAAGGGGATAAGTAGGCTATAAATATCATACAGAACATCTGGCCAGTCTTAGTATTGACACTGTGGGTGAATTGATTGACATAAACGAGCAGACCCCGCAGCCTTCACAGAAGAGGGACCATTGACACCAAAGGCCTTCAAGTGATGACACAAGTCCCTGGAGGTAAAATTATGACAACCGAAATAATTCCCCCAATATGAGGAAGAATAACAAGTTATATTTAGATATACAAACACATTATTCATTGTACAAGTATCTGTGATATGCTGGAAATCTTTAAGTATTTGTACACCAAGTTTATCTTAAATATTTACTTTCTGCCTGTTACAGATAATGGAAAATTGGCGATACCACAAACCCAAGGTGGCTTCTTACTGGCTGATAAAACTGGACTCTGTGAAGCAGAAAAAGGTAAGTCCCCTGCGTATGATTGTCTTATTAAGCTTTTCATGTCATACTGGGGAAGGTGGGGTCACCCCCCGCAGCCAAACCAGCCACTGACAAGCCTGACACATTCCCATTGCAACTTAATACATCTTTCAAGCTGCAGGGATTGTAGTCCACATACATGGTTTCCCTCATTAAGGCCTGATAAAAGGGTCGTGTTTTAGACCTCCAAAACATGTTGACTACTTGACTTGAATGTCCACCTGCCCTTATTGAATAACGTTGTATATGGACTATTTTAATCGCTGTGGCACTTCTACTGTGTTCACTGTTGAGCTAAGGATACTGTGGAGATCCTTTGGATTGTGGAAGCTGCCTATTTGTTTTTGTCTATTAAATCTTTATTCAAGTTTTTACATCAAATTTTTACAACAGTTTCATACAAACTTAACATTCTCCATTCTTCCCATACAACCCCAGCCCTTCCCGCCCCCTACTTCGGTCCTTACCCCCGAAATGTCCAGTATGCTTCCTAGTCTTTGAATTCCAGCCACTTCCCCCATGTTTTAAGATATGCCCCGTAGTTATCATTTTTCATTGTAACCATCTCTTCCAGTAGACTAGTGGCCCCTATCTTGGTCAGCCACTCATCACTTAAAAGGATTTTGGGTGTCCCCCAATACCGCGGGATCAGAGACTTGGCCGCATTTAGCATATGGGGTATTAGAGATTTTTTGTAAACCTTAACTGAGTCCGTTGTCAGATGGAATAAGAACACCCACGGGTCCATCGGTAATTGTACCTCACATATGTGTCCTATAATATCCTTCATCCTATCCCAGTAAGGTTTTATCTTGGGGCAGTCCCACCATATATGCGCAAAGGATCCCACCCCTCCGCATTCCCTCCAACAACCGTCATCGTTTGAAGGGTGCACCCTTTGCAATATCTGGGGAACCTGGTACCACCGTGTTAACAGTTTATAGTTTACTTCCATTGTTCTAGTGTCTACAGTTGTACTAGTAGCTAGTGTTAGTATTTTCTTCACCTCTTCCTGTGTGAGTGTATAGTTAAATTCCCGTTCCCATTTCCTTAAATATTTTGGGATACTATAATTTTATTTTTTGATAATTGCTTTATATATTTTTGAAAGGCAGTGTTGAGGTGATTGTTTAGCTCCCATAATCGACTCAAATACGGTCAAGTCCCCACCTCAAAGGTTTGGGTAAGGTTTGGAAAAAAAGTTTTAATTGTTGATGTCTCCACCAATCCAGGGGGTAGCTTCCCCATTCCTCTCTTAGCTCCTGTAAGGAGCTGATCCTTGCCCCCGACATGATGTCAAACACTTTTAGTTGAGGGCGCTTGCTCCAGTTTAGAAAGGCCTTGTCAGCTTTGCCCGGCGGGAAGTAATCATTCCCCAATAATGGGATGAGAATTGAGTTGTACTTCCATCCGTATCTACGGCACATCCGATCCCATGTCCGCAGTGTTGACATGGTCAGAGGCGCCGCATCTACCGAAAGCTGTCTCTTTGTCATTGGTATCCAATTTATTCCCGCCAGGTCCACTCCACCAAGTGCCATCTCCAGCCGTACCCAACCTTTCTGTCCTGCCCCAAACGTCCAGTCTACCAGTCTATTCAACTGAGCCGCTATATGATAGGACCTGAAATCCGGAAGGGCCACTCCTCCGTCTTGTCTCTGCCTGCTCAGGGTATTCCTTGCTAGTCTGGGTTTCCTATTCTGCCATATATATCTAGATATAACCCTCTGTAGGGTCTGGAAAAAGCTCCTAGGGATATCAATTGGTATCATCTGGAATACAAATAGCACTTTAGGAAGAATCGTCATTTTCACCGCGTTAATTCTTCCAAACCATGACAGTTTACGCAGTCCAAAAGTTGCTAAATCTGCTTTGATTGAGTTCAGGATCGGTATATAGTTAGCTTTGTATAACTCCGCAATTCTGGGAGTTAAGTTGATTCCCAGGTATTTAAGCCTGTCCCCCTTCCATCGGAAAGGGAAATATGAAGTTAGCGCCTGTCTCTCTCTTGCTGTTACAGTTAAAGAAGCTGCCTATTTGTCAGCCAGATCACACATATTCACATTACTTAAATACTGGATGAGAAACACCAAGATAATAACCAGACAGGTCCAGCATTTGTATATTCTGTAACACCATTAGTCCTTCTCCCTGTATAAATCATTCTGCTTTACCCACATATTCATATAGAAGCAATAGGCCCAGGGAGGAGAGGGGCGTTGTTGGACGCAGAGTGCTTGAGTATGTGTAAATATCCTGGCATCTGTTGAACAAACGAGGAATAGCCCCGGCACAACAACAAGAGGCAATATTTATAAGAACAGTGAAGCATGCGTTTTATCATTTTCACTCTCTGGCCACTTTATTAGGTACACCTTCCTTGTCCTGGACCTCCTTTTGTCTTCAGAACTACCTTAATTCTTCATGGCGTAGATTTAACAAGGTGCTGGAAACATTACTTAGAGAGTTTGGTCCATATTGACATATAGGGGTTGATTTACTAACCTTATAAACACACCACGAGCGTGTATACACCTCTGCAGTGTGTTCCCTCCCAGCATGATCTATGGGTGGAATCTAAACACCTTTGTAATGTGTACACACCCAGCAGGTGTGTTGTGCAAAGCCCTGAAGGAATTCCAAGGTGATGTTGGGTAAATTAGCTCTATGTTGTGTTGCTTGCGTTGATGAATGCAAGGAATGTAAATGCATGAGCTAACCATTTTTGTCTAAACTGTGAAGCAGCATTATATATGCATCATGTGCATGATTTTTCCATATATGGCATTAGTGGAAATATGCTTCTAGAGACTTTTTGGTTGATAAATACGTTTTGCTGTGTGAAAATCACACACACCTGGTGTGTGTGTGTGTTTAGGTTAGTAACTCACCCCCATAGCATCACGCAGTTGCTGCAGATTTGTCGGTTGCACATCCATTATGTGAATCTCCCATTACACCACATCCCAAAGGTTCTCTATTGGATTGAGATCTGGTGACTATGGAGGCCAGTTGATTACGGTGAATCCATTATAATGTTCAGTAAAACCAGTTTGAGATAATTTTAGCCTTTTGACATGGCACATTATCCTGCTGGAAGTAGCCATCAGGAGATGGGTACACTGTGGTCATAAAGGTATTTGAAGGATGCTAAATTAGTGCTAAGGGGCCCAAAGTGTGCCAAGAAAATATCATCCACACCCTTGCACCACCACCAGCAGCCTGAACCGTTGATACAAGGCAGAATGGAGACTTATTAGACCAGGCACGTTTTTCCAGTCTTCTATTGTCCAAATCAGGTGAGTCCTCGTGAATTGTAGCGTGTTTCCTGTTCTTAGCTGACAGGAGTGACACTCGGTGTGGTCTTCTGCTGCTGTAGCCCATCTGCTTCAAGGTTCAATATGTTGCACATTCAGAGATGCTCTTATGTATGCCTTGGTTGTGATGAATGGTTATTTGATGTACTGTTGCCTATCAGATTGAACCAGTCTGGACCATTCTCCTTTGACCTCTGGCATCCACAAGGCATTTTCATCCAGACAACTGCCGCTCACTGGAAATTTTCTCTTTTTCAGACCATTCTCTGTAAACCCTTTAGATGGTTGTGTGTGAAAATCCCAGTAGATCAGCAGTTACTGAATACTCACACCAGCCCATCTGGCACCAACAACAATACCACTTTCAAAGTCACTTAAATCATCTTTTTTCACCATTCTGATGCTCGGTTTGAACTTCAGCAAATTGTCTTGACCATGTCTAGATGCCTAAATGCATTGAGTTGCTGCCATGTGATTGGCTGATTAGATATTTGCATTAACACGCAGTTTAACTGGTGTACCTAATAAAGTGGCCAGTGAGTTTATATTTATCCATGCTGGAGTATTTATCGCCAGTGCTTTCTTTCCATCATAGATAGAACAATTCATTGTGTGTGTGTGTATATATATATATACATTGCAAAATGTGATCAATCTTTTTTTGCCAGTGTCTACGATATGGCAGATTTCATGTCTGCACTAACCTAGGGTTAACAGGCTTTATATTTATATCTAATTCTGCTGGTGGATTGGGAAGCCAAGAGTCCCATAGTTATGATGAGGTCATCATGATCCTAAATAACTCAGGTCAGGTCAAATTATACGCACACTATAATTTTTAATACAGTTCTATCCAGTTCTCATGGAAGTAAATCAGTGTTAACAGTTTTATGAGTCTTCACAGAGCTATGATAGATCCTGAAATAAAAACGGAGCAGTCAGATTGCCTTACGACATACAGTTTGTAACTTGTACGTGTTTAAAATAAATCTATATTGAAGGGTATATAGGCTGCTGTGGCTGAGCTTTTCATAGTGCCAGTTGCCTGGCCATAATGCTACTCTAAGGACTTCTGTATGATCTGAGTGGCTGACCTGGGGAAAAGTATACAGACCCACGTTTTGACTTTACTGACTACATGCTTGTTCTGGGGTCGCAATAAAGCCAGAGACAATTAATCAGATTTCCAGAAGGTCAGCAATAGGATGCTACATCTTTCTTTCAGGACAGGTTTCCTTTAAAGCAGAACTCTGGGTAAAGCCGTTCTTAACCCTTGCATTGCGACTACCCCCGCATTGCAAGGGTTAACCGCTCGTTTTTGTCTAGGTGCTAAAATAAAAAAAGCTACACTCACCCAATCCTCGGAGCCGGCTTGCTCCTAAGTCGGTTTGCTGGATCCTCTGTCCACCTCTGCTCCAGCAGTCCAAGGTCCCTAACTCAGCACATTCTATACACATTTTATAGGACGTGAGCACGCCGAAGGGCTTACCATCGCTGCAGTATAGGATGAGACAGGCTGGACAGAGTGCTGTGACAGCTGGCTGGCTCCAAGGTTCGGGTGAGTATGGTTTTGCCCATAGTTCCACTTTAGCTAAACAGAGAGTAGACGGAGGAAATAGACAGGAGTCAAGTCATTATCTGCTTTTACCATAGACAGCAGATTGTCATCAGAAACAGCTCAATCAAGCTTGTATGTCCATGGCTTGTATTAAAGTGGCACTGATAGTTATTACTGAAAATGTCTTTTTCTCCAGATGAGTCAGTGGTGAAGAAGGATAAAGCCTTCCACCATGAGCGCGGGAATGATTCCAGTTTAATTTGAAGTGTAACACAACCACACTCTGTGCCACCCGAGACAGCATATCCCAGCCTGCTCCGTTGCCATCGCTGTTTGGCAGACAAGCCACATGCAATTAATTTAGGATGATTGAATGTTTCCAGGAGGACCATAACTGTCATCTAATTTTTCATCCATCCGTAAGTGTTTAGTAAACTGAACAATTTTTCCAAATTATTGGGAGAGATTTTAATCTTGGGTGTTACACCATAGTGTGCCCTCCAAGTTTTCAAATCCTTTTGAAAACTGTTTGGAGGAGCAACTGGAGCCCACACAAAAATATCAATCCCTGAACTGTGAATGCAGTCCAGCAAACACTGCAACTTTCAAACAAAGTGCACTTTTCCTTCCCCCTCTCTCGCTATGCAAGTCTAGCCCCCTAGACCCCCTCACCGATCTTCAGTGAATTCCCATAGGGAATTCCCATCTCCACTCCGGAGATTACACTATAGGAATCTACTGTGCAAGTGCGACCAGCACACGAAGGATCACCACCTTAGCTAAGGTAATGGGAGGGGAAAGAGGGGGTAGGTTTCTTCTGAACCTGAACTCCTCCGAATCCTAAAGGAAACTCCTTACACTGCTATCCAACCAGCTGCAGCCAGGGAACTCCCTACTAGCAGGTGCGGGAGGGGCGGGATGCTGTGATATCATTGACCTTATATGGTTACATGTCTATATTAGGTGAATGACACTTAACTATTATGGCCACGTGGCCATATAAGGTAAATTTCGTCAGCACAAGCATCACACACCTTTTTTTATAGTCAGCTGTGGGGCAGGGAATGCCCCGACCTGCAGCTGATTGGGCGACAGGCCCATGTAGCTTCCACGTTTGCAGGAGCTCAGGTTTAGACTGAGTTTGGTCCAAAATCTGAGCTCATCCCTATTCCAAAGTGCTCTTACGCTCCTCCCCTCCAACACTGTGCATATACAGCCCCCCTAGACCCGCTCACCCTCCCTCTTCAGTATATTCCATTTGGATCTGAAGGACCGTCTTTGCTCCAGAGATGACACTATAGGAATCTACGGTGTAAGTGTGGCAGGATCACTGAGGATCAATACTTAAATGGAGGTCATAGAGGGGAGGATAATACTTTGTTTTCAGGTGCACTTATCCTTTAATGTCAGATAGGCCGCTCCATTAAAGTCTAACTCTAGCCAAAACATTTTTTTACATTGTTTATAGAGTAGGGAAGGGCTAGAACCTGGCAATCTGTTATTACTGCCTCTGTCCCTGATTGTACTATCTTCTTTAGATCTACCCAACTATGTAGTGCAAGAGCCTGCCTAATTGGATACAGATTGATGATATAGATAGATATTACATAGCCTTGGTAAGTCTAAAGTTTATTGTACAAAGATTGTGGGCAGCACAGTGGCGTAGTGGTTAGCGCTTCTGACTTGCAGTACTTGGGGTCCCTGGTTTGAATCCCAGCCAGGTCACTATCTGCAAGGAGTTAACCCTACCTATTATGTCACTATGTACAAGTGACATCATTGACACGTTTGCTTTTATTTCCTAGATTTTGGATATAGTGAGAACAAATGTCCGCTCCGTCCTTCAGCGAATCTGGAAAGTTTCTGATGTAGAGTGCTTACACCTGTACCGAAGTTTCAATCGAGTGTTTAACCGACTCCTTTGGAGTCATGGGCAAGGGCTATGGAGCTGTTTCTGCGCTTCCAGGTAAGCTGTATCTCATTTTCATGCCCATTTCCTCTCCTCCTGCTTATTTCTAGGACATGTAGGCTTATTTAAAGGGTAAGCTTTCCTTTTCACCTTTTCAGTCTGTAATGATCGCAAATGGCAAGCGCTTATTGGTCACATGACCTCTGAGATGGGGACCAGGTCCCGGAAGTAATAAGTGCTTCTCATTAGTCAGAATGCTCATGCAATCATGCTGACCAAGGAGCGCTCACCATTTGTGAGCATTATGATCATTACAGACTGTGGGGCTGTAAAGTGTGGTGTACAATGTATGGAGCGCTACACCAGCTGGTGGGGCATCACACAGGTAAGTGCAGCGGGAACCGGCGGAGGTGGGGAGGGGGTCTGCTGTGAGCAAGTTCATTTTTCCACATTTTATAAAAAGGTGAACTTTCTCTTTTAAGTAAAGTTCCTGCTTCCCTTCCATGCTTTGAGGTTCCTTCTGCTGGCCCCTATGTGCTGTAGTGATTTAGGAACTGGCGTGAGAGATTACAACACGATACCGAATAGTTGTATACCTGTGGTGACTGGCGATCTGCTTCGCAGCAGAAGTGTGCAGTTTTAAGGCTCCTGTAAACCACCAGCAAGGTAGATATACATATTTTAAAGGCTGGCATTAGTTTAGGTTGGTTGGTGATCTTAATGACAGAGTCACTTTAAAGAGTCCTGAGTGCAATAGCCCATCACAGCCAATCAGATACCCTGTATAGGGCAGGGGTGGGCAATGACTCAGACTGCCACAGACATGACTCCCAGGGGCAGAGGCATGATGGAATTGGTGGTTTCACCACAACTGAAGTGCCAAAGTTGCCTACCCCAGGTATAGAGTTTATTTATAAATCTTCTGCTCAGCCAGTGGCGTCACAAGGGAGGTGTGTGGGGGGGGGGGCCTCTGAAAAGTTGGGCCCGACAGTTGCAAGAGGGAGGAGGGGACCCAGCAGCATACCTCATCCCGCCAGGTGAACGTCCCCTCCTCTCTCTGCCGATGTCCATCACCATATGGCTGCCGGCAGGTATCACCAAGATGGCCGTGCATGCGCAATGACGTCCCCAGCCTAGGGCACTCAGCCACATGTCGGGAAAATGCCATTTGCATGGTATTCCCATCACTTGATGGAGCCAAGGAGCATAGGAGTTTCCGATGTTCCTTTGCCCCATCTAGTGGCAGAAATGCCATGCGAAAGGCATTTGCTCAGCGTATGGCTGAGTGGAAGATTTATAAATAGTCCCCTATGTGTATTTATTAGGGTACTAAAATTTGCACATACTGATTGTTCTTACAACAATAAGCATGAAGTTTTACGGAACAAATGTATGCCACGTTTACATGCTGAATCTCTAGAGATCTGGATTTTTAAAAATATCTTCTGACTGACGCTTTCCACTCTGCACACAAAAATGTATTCAGTTGTAGAGTAAAATTGACTGATTATTCGCTGGCTTCATTTCAGGACCATTTCCTTCACTGATCTAAATGAAAAGTATCTCTTGGAATTGCCGCAGTTCGCTCAGAAATCTAATTTCAGCAGCCGTAATGTATTGTGGCATAAGCAGTACCTGAATGTAGCTGCCTTGGAGCTCTCTGGTACGAGATGCAGTATTATAGACTGCTGTTGTGTGGGATGTAATTGGCTGCTGGAAATAGCCTGTATTTAGATGAGTCCTTGTCAGGGCCGAACTGGGAGTAAAGAGCAAAGCAGTCATATTACACACAGTGGGCTCATGCACATGGGCACATTGGAGCATACAATTACTTTTTTTAATGCACGGGAAGCCCAGGAGCTGCATACAGCTGCCCATAGGCATGAATGGATGTGCACGGGTATATACCCTTACTTGCATTAACCCATGTATAGCGCTGAGGCCTGTTCCTTGAATGCAGACTATGTAAAAAAGCATGAATTTTTATGTTGTATGCTCCAGTGTGCCCCTTAACCACATTTTGTATATGTGACTAATTTTTGCCAAGACTGATGGATCAGTAATGATTTAGTTAGGATGCACAGTGGATTGGGCCAATCTATGGCGATGGGATGTTCCTGGGAGCTTGTGACTTGTACAGTTATTATTACACTATTACATACTGCCGCGTGCATAATAGTGTAAAACATGGCAGTTCCTAAAAGGCTACAGATGCTGCCAGCTTTGGGTGGGCTGCAGAAACATCAAATATGAGATGTCTGATTGCATGGTGGGTTTTTATATTGAGTCATTTGAGGAGGAGGGAGGTGGGATTGTGTGGTAGCGCTATTATATAAAACAACTTTTTATTTTGTTTTTGACAGGTCAGTAAGGTAAGATCTAACAGAAATCTTAACTAGAGTTTGGCTTTAAGAGTTTAAAGTAAACCCACCCACTAAATTTTCATATTCGCTTTAATGCGTTAATGTCATTTCAAAAGTCATTTTCAGTATTATCAAGACTGACTTCACACCATTGCATTGCAGCAACGCAGTGCTAGGATTCCTCCATTCACTCTAAACAGCTTTGGTGGACAAATCTCCCACTATTGTATTCTGACATCCAGCAGCTGCCCACTGACGAGCAGGCCACCGACTGTAAGAATTTCAGCCAATTCCTGTGAATCAGCCACAATTCTAGTGTATGGACAGCTTAATGCACTGTAGGCCACAGTAATGTGCTGCCATGCTCCATTGTGTGCAGCATCAGGAAAAAAAAGGAACAGGTCTGGTTTTCAGTTCGCTTGGGTACGTTGGCAGGCAATTAAAATTGAATGGGCTGTCTTAATGCAACGAGTGTTGGGGTGTGGCATAATGAGCGTTAACATTCATGTTGTAATGCAATCTTAAGGTGTCCATAATCTACACTGTTCATTTAAATAATACCTGGTGATCCTGCCATGAAAGTTCTTGTTCAGGCATCTCCTGCTATAGAGTGACACTGTTCTGTCCCGGTCTCCCAGGTTGCTTCTGTGTTGTTACCCTTTCGAAAATGCTTCCAATGGAGACTACAAATTGCCATTTGAGCATACATTATGCAGGCATGGTCCACTGTGGTCACCATCAATATACCCACTCTGAGAAATACAATACAGTCATTGTTGGAGGGCGTGTAGACAGGAAGTAACTGCAAGATCAGGATTACTAAGATGCAATAAAGCATAAAAATTATCAAATGTAGTTTTTTTTTTAAGGCAGTTTTTAATGATGCTTGATTGGCATTAAGCTAGGTGAGGGTAGACACTTCTCCTTAATAAATACATTTGTGTTTGCAAAGGCTGTTGTAGAAGGATTCTTCTGAGATGCTTTTACTTGCATTGAAGTTGCTTTGCTTTTTAGTTGCTCAAGAAGTTGCTTTAGGTTTTATCTGAGTTGCATCAAGCTACATAGAGTTTAGCATTCATGTTGACTTGTATGAAGATGAAAAGCAGCTCTGAAAGTCTGTGTACATAAGTCTTAAATCTGTCTGTTCTCTTCCAAAATATAACTCAAACAAAATGGCATCCAAACAACATGGAGGCCGCGGCTCCTGTCACCGTATCCCGAGGGTGAATGAGATTGCTCACCCTCCTTGACACATGTTTCATATGATACAAACCATGCTTCTCATGGTACAAGTGTCTTGTCTCTATAAATGACAAATGTAAATAATTATCCTGAAATAACCGTTCACAGACACTATTGTTTATCCCTTCATATGTTGCATGATAATATGAAAGCGTTTCTGAATTTCTTTTCCTCTCTAAAATTCTTAAAACATGTTGTCTTGGTCTGGTCCATCTTTGTGAGCAGGCTTCTCATATGAAATGCATTTGACAAAATGGCAGATGAGATCACATCAGCATATGTTTTAATTATGTCATGTGGCGGATGGAAATATTACAGATTATAATCAACTTTAAATCTGTTTTTTTCATGATGCAAATAATTTGGTCTGGATTCTAACATTCTGTACTTTCCATTGTGATTGTAAGACTGATAGTCCTGCAGGGAAACTGGTGGAATTAAAGGGGAATTTACACCAAAACCATGTTGGGTTCAGGATGTTGAGGAGAAGTTGTCTAAATGCAAACCTTACATCAAAATGCAAGGTTTGCCTATTTCCTATATCCCATCCCCCATGTCAAAATGAAGCTTAAATGATACAAAAACCAAACCAACCGGGGCACCTAGGTGACAATAACATCATGGACCATTTAGACAGTCACTTAGAAAGCTTCGGATCAAACTCTTGCAAGAAGGCACTACACCACTGTGGTGGATAAGCGGAGCTGGCATTTTGATGCAAGGTCTGCTTTAGTATAGCAGTCCACACAAAAATGGCCAGTTTGGATAATCAACTGACTTTTTATATCACTTTGGAGCATTGGTTTCCAGATCTTTGAATCTGAGCTCCCAGGTCCTCCTATCTGCAATGAGCATTTCAAAGGAATTTAATTCTCCCGGTAGAGGTTTTACTCATATTATAGTATGAAGAAAGCAGAGAGGCAAGAAAGAGTCCCAGTCCAAAGGGGGAGATTGGGACATCTTACAGCTGGAATTCCAGATGGTTTGTGAGCTCAACAACTTTGTACAAACCAATATTGATTTGGGAGGGGCTTTGCTTCATCAACCAATTACTGTTTTTCACCTCCATTCTTTCAGAGATTGAGTTTTACCACCATGAAGAGTTCAGCTTGATCATTGGCTCTTCTAGCTCGCAGTCTCTTTTAGGAGTCTGAGAGAAGATTTGCTTCAAAACTTTACGGATGGAGTTGAGCTGGATGAGGGTACTCTTTAGAAGCGGTAGAGGGTTACTCATTGTAGGCAGGTGGAGTCACCTTCTGGTAAATTCTCAATCCCTCAAAGATATCCTGAACCCAGAGATAGATTAAGGCAAAATTGGTCCTTACACAAGGTTACAGCTTTGGCTACTGCATCCCTTCCATTGGCATTGACAAAGATTGCAATAGGTTCAGTAGACCTTCAAGTTTATTTAATACAGAGGGGACGTGGGAAGATTAGAGGACCGGGAGAATT